AAGCCTGAACTCATCCAAAACTTTGCAGTCCATAAACTAATCGCATCAAATCTTATTCACAGAATCACGGAAGTGTTATGGTGCAGAAGGAGGCCGTTTGGCCCATTGTACGTGCACCAGGTTGTTAAACAAGCATCATCGCCTAGTTTTTTTTTTCTAATCATTTGTAGGATGTGGGTGTCACTGGACTCAGAGTAACACCCTCCCGACTGTATACCACTGTGCTGCCACCTCTGCTAGGTCTGTCCTGGTGGTGAGAAAGGACAAATCCAGGGATGGTGATGGTGGTGTCTGGGACGTTGTCTATAAAGTATAATTCTGAGAGTATGACTGTGTCAGGCTGTTGCTTGACGAGTCTGTGAGACAGCTCTCCCAATTTTTGCGCTAGCCCCCAGATGTTAGTGAGGAAAACCGAGCAGGGTCAACAGGGCTGTTTTTGCCGTTGTCTTTTCTGGTGCCTAGGTCGATGCCAGGTGATCCATCCAGTTTCATTTCTTTGCGACTTTGCAGTGATTGGTCCAATTGAATGGCTTGCTACGTCATTTCAGAGGGCAATTGAGAGTCAACCACATTGCTGTGGGTCTGGAGTCACATGTAGGCCAGACCAGGTGAGGATGGCAGATTTCCTTCCCTAAAGGACATTAGTGAACCAGATGGGTTTTCCTGACAATAAACAATGATTTCATGGTCATCAGTAGGTTCTTTTTTAATTCAAATTTAAACCCGGGTCCCCAGAACATCAGCTGTGTTTCTGGATTAATAGTCTAGCGATAAAACCATTAGGCTATTGCCTAACTAGTGCTAATCTCCTACCTTTTCACACCATTTCTCCCCAAATAATCATCCAATCCATCAAATGCCTCAATGGAAACTGCCTCCCTGACATGTCCAGGCAGTGCATTCCAGACCCTGACTACTCGCTGGGTGAAAATGTTTTTCCTCACGTCACCCTTGCTTCTTTTGCATTTTGCTTTAAATCTATACCCTGTTTTTCTTCTTTTTATGAACAAGAACAGCTCTCCCTATTTACTCTGTCTAGTCCCCGCTCATGATGTTGAAAATCTCCATCAGATCCTCCCTCTCAGCCTTGATGCCACACTCCACTGAATGTGGCCTTGAAGTCAAGAACTGTCACTCTCACCTCACCTCTGCAATCCAGCTGTTTTGTCCATGTTTGAACCAAGGATATAATGAGGTCAGGAGCTGAGTGGCTCTGGCAGAACCCAAACTGGGCGTCACTGAGCAGGTTATTGCTGAACAGGTGCTGCTTGATAGCACTGTTGATGACCCTTTCCATCACTTTACTGATGATCAAGAGTAGACTGATGGGGCAGTAATTGGCTGGTTTGGATTTGTCCTGCTTTTTGTGTACAGGACATACCTGGGCAATTTTTCACATTGTCAGGTAGATGCCAGTGTTGTAACTGTACTGGAACAGCTTGTCTAGGGAGTGGCAAGTTCTGGAGCATAAGTCTTCAATACTATTGCCGTATGTTGTCAGGGCCCATAGCCTTTGCAATATCCAGTGTCTCCAACTAATTATTATCATGTGGAGTGAATCGAATTGGCTGAAGACTGGTATCTGAGATGCTGGGGACCTCTGGAGGAGGCCGAGATGGATCATCGACTGGCTGAAGATGCTTGAAAATGCTTCATTCTTATCATCAATTGGTTCAGACATAAGTTTAAATCCCCTCTTGGCAGCTGGAGAATGTAGGTTTAAGTAATTAAATAAATCTGGAATTTTTAAAAAAACTGTCAAGAATGGTGACTATGAAACTACCAGATTGTTGTATGAGCCCCATCTGATTCACTAATATCCTTTTACAGAAGGAAATCTGCATCTTGCCCTGTCCAGTCTACATGTGACTCCAGACCCACGGCAATGTGGTTGACTGTTAACTGCCCTCTGAAATGGTAGGACAAGCCTTTCTCGTGTACTCAAGAAGGCAATTCACCTTGACAGTGGACAGTGTCAGTTTCAAATTTGGTTTGATATTAATCCTGTGAACTGCCTATAACATGTTAAAAGTGAGATATAAATGCAATTGTTGTGGAATAAGCAACTCATGCCATGATTGGCAATCGAGCTAATGAAGGGACACCAGTCCGCACCATGCTCTAAAACGCTTCCAGATCTAGTTAGAGATAAGTGTGGAACTGGAGGAACACAACAGGCCAAGCAACATCAGACGAGCTGTGTTCCTCCAGCTCCGCACTGTTATCTCGGACTCCAGCGTCGGAAGTTCTTACTATCTCCAGACCTATTTGAATATAGTACATATATGATGTACTATGATTCCACAGTTCGCCACAAGGTGGCGGTGTAACCAGTTGACACATATGCAGTATTGTTGTAGTAGCGAATATTGGCCACATAGCGGCGTTGTGTGCCAGTCTTGCATTGCTTTGCGATAGCTGCAGTAAGTCTGTTTCACCACACTGTGGCTCTATAACGCGTGTCCATGAAAGTTAACACCTTCACTACGACATACAGTGAGATGAACTGGTTATAGGGTAGCGATAATAGAGGTCACCTTATTGATGCTATAAGCTGGTGCAGTGATGACTTAAGAGACAACAAGGTGCAGGGCTGGATGAACACAGCAGGCCAAGCAGCATCATAGGAGCAGAGAGGCTGACGTTTCGGGCCTAGACCCTTCATCAGAAAAGGGGGAGGGGAAGGGGGTTCTGAAATAAATAGGGAGAGAGTGGGAGGCGGATAGAAGAGGGATAGAGGAGAGGATAGGTGGAGAAGAAACAAACAGGTCGAAGAGGCGGGGATGGGGCCAGGAAAGGTGAGTGTAGGTAGGGAGTTAGGAAGGGGATAGGTCAGTCCAGGGAGGACGGACAGGTCAAGGGGGCGGGATGAGGTTGGTCGGTAGGAGATGGAGGTGCGGCTTGAGGTGGGAGGAGGGGATAGGTGGGAGGAAGAACAGGTTAGGGAGG